AAAAATCTTAAAAAAAATAATAAAATAAAATACCCATGATATGGAAACAGTCTAAGTGTCCATCAGTGGATGAACAGATTTTAAAAAACTGTGGTATATATGTACAAGAGAATATTATTCGGCCATAAAAAAAAGAAGGAAATCTTTCCATTTGCAACATCACAGATGGGACTTCAAGGGCATTATGCTAAGTGAAATACATCAGACAGAAAAAGACAAGTACAATTATGACTTCACTTATATGTAGAATCTAAAAAGCCAACCAACCAAACAAAACAGAAACAGACTCATAGCTACAGAGAACAAACAGACGATCGCCAAAGGGGAGAGGGGTAAGGGGGGGATGGACGAAATAGGCAAAGGGAATTAAGACGTACAATCTTCCAGTTATAAAATAACTAAGACAGGGATATAATGTACAGAAGGAATACAGTCAATAATATTGTATGGTGATGGATAGATGGTAACTAATTGGGTGACCATTTTGCAATGTGTATAAACCACCATGTTATACACCTAAAACTAATACAATATTGTATGCTAATTATTTTTAATAAAAACAAAAAACGAGCTTCAAGAACAATTGGTTGCCGAACTAGGATGTACCATCCAGGATCCCCTTGAGGAAGGACTCAGTGGCCCAGCTGCTGAGAGCCCCCTTCAGGGACTGCCTCGGCTACAGAGCTGTCTTGGCTGCAAAGAGTCACATTACCCAAGGTCAACCCCCTTCCTAAAGCAACCCACAGGGATAAAGGCCAAGCCATTGTGACCCATCTCAGGACAGCTCTGAAAGGCCATTCTAGCTCCAGAGCTCTTTGTGGGCTGGCTCAACTGCTCCCTTTGCTTACTCCTGTGTCCTTCCTCTCCCTTCCACAGGTATTGATCCCAAGAACACTCCCAAATAAACCTCTTGCACATTAAACTCCACCTGCTTCCTGGAGAACACAACTTGTGTGGCAGGCTCTGACCCGAGTGTCTCCGGGCATTATCAGACAGGAACATTTAAGCACACTTACATGGTTCAGGAGATCCTGTACTTTTCAATACTGATTGTACTCTATCAACTATGCAATATCATGCTCAACCCATTCCCACTGAATATTTTCACATGAGATTATAGACTCGCTGGTAACATTCCCAAGCTATCTTATATCCTCTTTATGAAACAATAACAAGCTTAGGAATACCAGAGTGCTGTAGACTCTGAGATCTAGTTACGTTCTCATTATTAAGTTAAATTGGTATCATTTTATACCTATGTTCCTTTCTTTCTTAAACTGGCGAAAAAGAAATGGCCCCTTCCAAATGTCTCCCACAGACTGAACTGCTTCTAGGCTTGGTCAGCAGAGATGATAAAAGACCCAAAGAATTAAGTTCTCACTATATATGAGTAACAACTGGAAGAGCCCCCTGCTGAAGCAGGGGCCCTTCTTCTGATGCTACATTCCTGTTCCGTAACTGGTCTCCTACCTTTAAGGATAGAATCACTGATCTTAGCCTTGGAAGGTGACTGCTCAAGGCCTAGCCCCCTCATTTGAGGAAGTAAGACCTCTCCATTTTACAAACAATAGTAATAGCTAACATTTAAACCCTTTATTACAGGACAGATGTGGCGATAAGTGTCTCACGTGTATCAACTCAATCCTCATAACCACACCGATGGAAGTACTATTCTTTCTTTCTCTCTCTCTTTTCTTTTTCTTTCTTTCTCTCTTTCTTTTTTTTCCTTCCCTCCTTCCTTCCTCTTTCTTTCTCTCTCTCTCTCTTTCAGAAATGTGCGCGCACACACACACACACAGAGTGCAGGGCGGAGGGGCAGAGGAAGAGAGAGTCCTAAGCAGACTCTGCACTGAGCACGCAGCCTGACTGGGGCTCAATCCCGTAAGCCCAGAGCCAAAACCAAGAGTTGGAAACTTAATCGTCTGTGCCACCCAGGTGCCCCGGAAGTACTACTCTTATCTCCATTGTTGAGGGGAGGAAACCTGAAAGGTTGAGTGACTTGCACAAAGTCACCCAGTTAGTCAATCACAGAGCTAAGGATGTGAACTCAGGTTCATGTCCCAGTCACAGAGTATGCAAGGGATGAAATGGGGGAGGGGTGGCTAAGGTGAGAGTAGATCTTGGGCTTTCCCACAGAGTGATTCCTCTTGCAGTGTGGGTGGTGATCCTTCTGTGGGCCCTTAAATCAATTTAATGGCTCACAAACGACATTCAAAAGAGAGAAAGAAGGGGTGTGGGGGAGGGGAGAAAAGGAAAAGAGGGAAGAAAAGAAAGGAAGAGAGAAAGAAAGACAAGATGGCATTGCACCACATGTAGTCCAAATAGTACTGTTTCACGAAACTTTGGTTCTGCTGTATCTGTGCATGCTGGGTTGCTATGAAAAAAGTCTTTAACTGTGGGTTGTCGTACCCAAAGGTCATTAAATTTCATTCAAATTCAATCATCAGGAAAATAAAAATCAAAGTAATAAGCTACCATGCTTTCAGAGGCAAAAATGTAAAAACAACTTGAAAGCCTATCAACAAAAAAATGGATGAATAAATTATTCTCTATCCATATTACAGCTATTAAGGAATGGCTCAGGTCTATACATATTAAACTAGACAGATTGCCCATGACGTAGCATTAAGTAGGAGAAACACACCGCCGATAAATGCATGTGGTAGGATTATGTGTTGTACAATCAGTGATGAAGCCCCCAACATACAGGTGAACATTTGGGTGGTGGACTGGGTGGAATGGAAAAGGAGGGAAGTAGGAACTAAGGAAAAGTACAACAAAGGCAGCTGCCATCTAGCCAGAAGCAGGGTGCACATCATCCAGAGCGCCAGAGGAAACAGAGGACATGAGCAAATCGTCCAAGTCGAGAGGAATTTAATTAATTTAATTAATAATTTCTCTCCTCCCACCCTCCACTCTCTTGCTGGAACATCCCACTGGCCAACCCAACTGGAGGCCAGGGGGCTAGGGGACCCGCTGATGCAGCCCATCAAGGTGAACTGCCCAGGACTCAGAGTAGGAGAGAGGGGGCTGGAGAAAAGTCCTAATGGGACAAATGGATGATATCCAACACAGAATACTATAACATTAAGTGAGAAGGTAGAACAGAAACTACATCTACAATTTTTCTTTTTACATACAACATTAAATATTTGCATGGATGAAAATTAAAAGGTTGCCAAATGACAGTACTGATTTGCTTTTGTGATGGTATCTTGGATTTTAGTTTATTAAATCCAATATGTTCAATAATAATTACATTAAAAAAGAATATTTTTTTTTATTCTTCGCAGTAAAACAGACCTGAGTTACAAGTCTTGACTTGCTGTTTGTCTACCTTCCTCATCTCTAAAATGGGGATCAGGAGAGTACCTATCTCATACGGTTGCTATGAGGATTTAACCAGCTAATAGATTTTCAGGCCTTAGGGTAATGTTTGGCACAGAGTAAATGCTTTAAGTGTTTGCAGTTGTTATGGTGACAATGTGATTATCAAGAGCCTCCCAATGGATCTACCTGTCTCCATGGCCCTTCTTCAGAGCAAGCGCCCTTTAAACGGTACACCTGATCACGTCGCTCTCTTCCTTGAAGTCCGTCCATGGTCTCCAGATCTTGCAGGACAATACTCAAACCTCACCCTTGCCGGTGTCTCCAGCCTTACCCTCTTCCACTCCTCCCTTCGTGCCTTCATTCCAGCCACACCAATTCCTTCTGGTTCTGCACAAGCACCATGCTGTCTGTCCCCTGTCCCAGAGCCTCTGTTGGGAATGCCTTTTCCCTACCATGCCACTTCCCTCCCTTGCTGACTCTTCCTATTTGTCACTGAAATTTCAAGACTTCCTGTCCCCGCTCCCCCATCCCGCCAACCCCAACAGCTTCCTCCTATTCCTTTCCATCCCATGCAGTCCGTATTATGCCATACTCCAAATCATGAGTGTATTGATTCAGCCATCAGCAGGTGCCTGCCCCGCCCAGGAAAGGTAGCAATAATGACCTTCATCTCTGGACCCCAGCACGGAGCACAGAACCTGCTGAGAGTGGGTATTTAATTCATGATTTGTCTGAGAATTAAATTTATAAATGAGCGAGTTATGTGACCCAATGTCACTCAGCTAAGTAAGTGGCAGAGCCAGAATTCAACCCGAGTTATGTCAGACTCCAAAGGCCACCCCTATCTCCCAACCTTCTGGAAGTTCTAAGGCTGCCTGCCACTCCAGAAGAGTTGCATGCCTAAGGGAACTCCCCAGGGGCACTAGACCAGTTCAGGCCAGAATGAGTTGGTCAGCGGAGACCGGGAGTAATAAATGCCTCCTTTCTGGGAGTAACCACATGACATTTGCTTTATCAAGGGACTTTCCCAAGAAAATCAATTTCTGGAGCATGTTAAAATATAAACAAACCGCCATCCACCCACCCACTCCTTAAAGACAATTGGTCCAAAGAGATCTTAGAGAATTCAGACAATTCCACAATGTTGAGAGCACCACCCGATCACATGAACTTTGTTTTCCCTAACCAAGCATTTTTCTACTGAATTTTTATTTTAAATTTGGCTCCTCTGTGAAATGTGCATCCCCATCCTATACTGTTTCACCCAAGGCAAACCTGTATACACAGCCACAGACGTACTGGGGATTCTTGACCTATGCACCATTTGAGATTTGCTCTCGTGGCTCACGATGATGTTAGCAGAATCCCTTGATAACAGTGTTTATATCTATTTATAACTAACCTATTATCCTATTTTCCATATAATTGGATGCGACTGAGTTTAAAAAAAATTCAGCTGCAGAAGAAAAGTCATGCTCTTATAGAGCAGATGTTCACTCAGCATGGAAAGTGAATTAGCCTTTAACACAAATACCCAGAAATATATCAGCGCTTTTTCCAAAAGCACTGGCGTTAATGTTTTATGCTGAAAAATAATTTTTAAGATAAAGGATATTAAAAATGCAAGGGAGGTGGCCAGAGCTGGTTTTTAAGACAGGTGTTAATTTTACCTCTTTCATGTATGACGGTGCTTCCAATTCGGGCATCGGATTCATTCTCCAGTTCAGGGCGCAGAAAAATGACTCATAATTTATTTGTTCTTTACTGTCTTCAAACCTGAAAATATCATTATAATATATAATTTGACTCAATCTACAGAATTCAGGACCAAAATGTCAGCTTAAATGCTACCAGGAAAACATAATGTCAGGTTATGTTTTAATGCCTGATATTTTTCTTATTTCTTACTAGTTTTTTTTTTTTTTATCAGATTCTAACCCTCAAGAGAGTGAACTCTCTGTGAGCAGAGATCACACACAGCTCATTCACCACAGTGTCCCCAGCACCTAGATTCATGCTGGCATTTAGTAGGTGCGCAATAAAGATTTGCTGCAGTTGCCACAGAAACAAATGAGCTTATTCAGTAACTGAGACTATTTTGTTCAGAGTATTTGCAGGCCCTCTTAATTTAATATGGTTGATACTATAGGTCAGTGAAACAAAATCTCCTTGTGTTTCTTAAATGGCATGCCTTTTAAATTTTTAAGGGGAGCCTAGATTCATTGCGTCTACGCAGTTATTTTTAGGAAAAATAAAAGGTATCTTTATCATTTATTACGTAGCCATTAAAAGGGGTTATTTAGGGGGCACCTGGGTGGCTCAGTCGGTTAAGCTTCCGACTCTTGATTTTGGCTCAGGTCATGATCTCAGGGTTGTGAGATGGAGCCCCGTGTCGGGCTCTGCGCTGGGTGTGGAGCCTGCTTAAGATTCTCTCTCTCCCTCCCCCTATGCCCCTCCCCACCTCTAAAAGAAAAAAAAGGAGGGGGTTATTTAGATCCACATATGCTGTCATGGAAATATGTTCATGATATATTGTTGAGCAGAAACAAGATTACAAAATAGTATGTAGAATTATGATCTCACTTGAGGTATATATTTATATAAAAAGGCACAGTGGCGCCTGGGTGGGTCAGTCAGTTAAACATCTGACTCTTGATATGAGCTCAGATCTTGATCTCAGGGTCATGAGTTCAAGCCCTGTGTTGGACTCCACGCTGGATGTGGAGCCTACTTAAAAAAAAAAAAAAAAGGCATAGAAAAATTCTAGTGACAATACACTGAAATATTAAAACAGCTATCTCTGGGAAGAGAGACTGCTTTTTGCTTTTTGCTTTAGACTTCTCTGTATCATCTGAATTGTTTTAAATTCATAAGAAAAAATACTAAGCCCATTTTTCACTTAAAAGAAAACACTGGCATAAATTTAACCTTAACCATAATAGAGTTTTGGCCATTAAGACCCAGTAATTTCAAACACAATTGATGGAATGACCTGAACACTAAGTGAAATTCTTCTTAGTATAATACCTCAATGCCACCTGGTCGTAATTGCACCACACTCTGCCAATTTTTAAGGCTAAACATATATTGATCATGTCAGACCATTTTTTGAAGGCCAAGACCATTGTTCCCAGCACCCTGCCAGGATTCCTGCCCCACTCAGGACCTCCAACTCAACACTCCCTCTCCAACCGGCAAGTGAGGTGCACAAGATACTGTGGCAAGGATGACAAGGGGATAATTACTTAAAAGAAAACCTGGTGATAATAAACGTAGGAAAATAACATACTCATAACCAGTCAAAAGACTTTGTTTTTCCTCAGGAGTAAAGAAAATAATAGCTCATATTTATAAATGAATATAAATTAGCAGTAATAAGTTAAATGTTACAAGATGAAGTCACATAGACTTGTCAATCTAAACAAAGTAGAATAAACAGAGTGATCCGAAGAGGAGAAGGGGAATTCGGTTCTTCTTTTGTGTACATTTTCTTTGGCCAAGGATTCTAGGATACAACTCCAATACGCTGCCCCCTACCACTGTTTATCCTCTGGATTTTGGCTCACTCGCCATTTGAACTCCTTGAAAGGACATGCTCTGTTTATGGAAATATTTGTAGCCAAAATGCTGGACCATTATGTCTTTTATTTGTGTGTGTTTTGGGAGAAGAACTAAAACTCAGTCAATTAAAGATGTTTGGTAAAAAACTTTCCTCTAGCATGGAGCCTTGAAGACAAGTATTCCCTAATACTCTGAGTAGGAGCTGAGGTCAGAGAATGAGATCATGTAGGGCCTTTGACTTTCATACTGAGGAAAACTAAGAGCCACTGGAGCATATTGTACACAGAACAGTTATGGGATCTCCGTTATATCTTCTAAAGATCAGGCTCACTGATACATTGAGAAGGGAATGCAGGCGCAGGGCCAAAGTGGCGGGGCAGTCAACAGTCTTCTGCAGTGATCCAGAGTAGGCATAATGGCGGCCTAGATGGCAGTGGGGGCAGCGGAGGGCACTGGGGAGTGGTCAGTTCTGAAAATATATATATACATATATATGTATATATATATATATATAAAGATTTGTTTTAGAGAGAGAGAGCAAGCGAGCGAGTGGGGGGAGGGGCAGAGGGAGAAGGAAAAAGAGAATCTCAAGGAGACTCTGCGCTGAGTACGGAGCCCAGTGCGGGGCTGGATCTCATAACCTAGAAATCATGACCTGGGCCGAAACCAAGAGTCAGATGCTCAACTGACTGAGCCACCCAGGTGCCCTGATTCTAAATACATTTTGAGTGTAGGATTCCTGAAGGATTGTACATAGTGTGACAGAGATAGAGAGACAGACAGACAGAAACAGAGAGAATGCATGGACTCGGGACAACTCCAAGGGTTCTGCTTGACCAACTGGAAAAATACAGCTGTCCTAACTGAGATAGGAAGGACGGCAGGAGCCATAGGTTGGGGAGAAAAAAATCAAGAGTTTTGTTTGGATATGTTCCATTTTGATGGGGAGGGGGCAGCTGGACATAAGAGTCTGAAATTCAGGGAAGAGGTTTGCGTTGAAGATAGAAATGTGGGAGCCATTAGCATAGAGATGGTATTGAAAGCCACCAGACCAAGAGATTGGATGAGATCACCAATGAACTAAGTTTCTCTATCTGTTCCTACAGTATAGAATTTAATGGTCAGTAAGTTCCCATTACATCAATTACAGGAAACACTTAATTCCAGAGGTTTCAGAAGTATAATATCCCAATAATTTGGGAGCCAATCAAAAGATTACCAAACAGATAGGATCACATCAGACTTCACCCCCATATACAATCCACTATCCAGTCCTGTGGGTTCTACCACCATAGCATATCACCCAGATCTTTTTCTGGGGCACCTGGGTGGCTCAGTTGGTTGAATGTCTGCCTTCGGCTCAGGTCATGATCCCAGGGTCCTGGGATCGAGCCCCGCATCGGGCTCCCTGCTCAGGGGGGAGCCTGCTTCTCCCTCTCCCTCTGCCCCTCTGCCTGTTTGTGCTCTCTTTCTCTGTCAAATAAATGAATAAAATCTTTTTTAAAAAATCTCTTTTTCTCTACCTCCTCTACTCTCACTAATTCCAAGCCACCATCAACTCTCACATGGGTTACAATAGCTTTGTAGTTTGGTCTTACTGCTTCTATTCTGACCTTTGCTGCAGACACATCCTCCACCAAAATGAACTTTCTAAAACATAGACCAGATCAATAACTTCCTTGCTTAGAGCTCTCCAATGGCTTCCCAATCCACTTCGAACACAAGATGAACTCCTTATCAGGGTTTATAAAACCCTATGTAAACTGGCCACTGCTGACTTCTCTGATCTCATCTGAAAACTCTCTGTTTGCAACATTCCAGGTGTACTAGTCTTCTTTCTGTTCTCTGAGCATGCCAAGATTGTTCCCAGAAATGCAAGGCATTTGCAGCCTCTGGTCCCTTTGTCTGGAAAGTCTCCATTCACATGTTGCTTCTTCAGAAAGGCCTTCCTGAAGTTCCTCTTGCCTAACCGAGTCCCCCTGCCTAAATCTGCATTTGCCCTGGATGATGGCAATTGAAACTTATAGAAAAATTTCTGGAATCACCATTGGAACTCCTATTATCATATGTTGTTACCAATAAGTCTTATATCATGCCTACCTGTTACCCCTAGGCCCCTGGCCTTCTTCCCTGCCCAACTCGTGATAGATCAGACTCAACACATCTAAACATTTACCCATTTCAAAGGTTATTTGAAAAGAATATTCCTGAGTCAAATGATATTCAGGAAGGATCAAAAGCTGTAAATGGAAGAATACACAGCTTAGAAATGATGTATAAAATTTTTCTGAGGAAAGGGGTGCCTGGGTGCTCAGTCAGTTAAGTGGCCGACTCGTGGTTACAGTTCTGGTCATGATGTTGTGGTTGTGAAATCAAGCCCCTTGCCAGGCTCTGTGCTCAGCGAGAGTCTGCTTCAGATTCTCTCCTCCCTCTCCCTCCCCCTCTGGCTCATGCTCACACTCTCTCACCCTTTCTCAAATAAATAAAAATCTTTAAAAAAATTTTTTTTCTGAGGGAAAATGTTTGAAAGATTTGATCTTTCCAAAGACCCAGAGTCAGGCTTCAGGGAAGAGTTGAGCTAATGTGGTATAATACTCCAAGTTTTTATTTTCAGTTCGGAGGATCTCAATGGATATGGAAATCCTGGCAAAAGGAGCAAGGGAGAAAAGAACAAAGAATCTTTCAATTAATAGGGATAAAACTAGCCAATGCTTCTTGGAAGAATTTTTTGCTCTTGGGAAGTGGACAGGGTTGCAGTTAATAGTGATGGATTGATCACAAAATATATTTATCTCCCTTTCCCACCAAAAGCTCACCAAAATGACAATAAAGGAATAAAAATAAGTAATAACCCACAATGACAATGATCGCTAGAGGAAAGACAACAGTGGACAAGAATCTTCAAGATCTTTTGCATGATGGAAAGAAGACAGGACTTGTAACTGACTTGGCAGAACTGAGGAAGGGAAGCTAAACTCTAAATGTCCGGAGGCAGGGGCCACTTAGAGATTAGCCAGTGTAGCCCACAGAACTCCCAAGATGCTCAGCAAATGCCGACTCCAGGTGCCAATAGAGGCAGGGACATGGTGTGGGACGGAAAACAAGGGCTGTTTCAAAGCCTGAAGAAAGCAAGGGCAGCTAGAGCCCCAAGTATCTTTCTCTATACTGTCCTCTTCCAGAGAAATCCAACTAAAAGAGCTTCAGTCTGGGGGGGA